ATCGTCAATGATTTTGCAACGTGTATGCTCGCTGGTTCTGATCAAAATACAGTTATTGCTAGTATTACCATCGGCAGCAAAATCATGACAAGGAAAGTGCCAACTAAGCTATCATGGAACTTCCAAAAGACAATGAAAGTGCCAACTAAGCTATCATGGAACTTCAAGAAACAAGGAAAGTGCCAACTAAGCTATCATGGAACTTCAAGAAGGCCAAGGAAACCATGCTGACGCTTTTCAACAAAACTGGGAGACCAGTGTCGAACCCAATCAATCGAAAGTTGCCATAGTAATACCAGTACTACAAAAGGGCCAAGACCCTAGCAACTTTGACAACTATAGGCCTATCTCCCTGAGAATGGTTAGCAAGAGGCTCACCTGGTTCCTTGAGACCAACGATATTCTTATGAGTGAACAAGCCAGTTTTATGCCACAAAGATCAACGAACCAACAAGTATCCACTTTCTCCTTTTTAGGTCACAATGATCAACGAACCAACAAGTAGCCACTTTCTCCCAACGAAGATGCCCTTGATGCAAGAAATACATACAAACACATCAAAGATGCCCTTGATGCAAGAAATACCCTTAGTCTGTTTTCGTCAATTTCAAATCAGCATATGACTTAGTATGAAAAGTTGCTTCAAATCAGCATATGACTTAGTATGGAAAGAGAAGCTACTTCTAAAATTGGTAAAGATTGGTATTAAGCATAACATGCTAAGCTTGGATAGATCATTCGTTAGAAATAGATCATGCAAAGTCAGATATGGCAATGCTCTATCAAAATCCAATCTTTTACAAACAGGCCTTCCACAGGGAGCTGTCACAAGCTGCACTCGGGCTGCGCAGGGAGCTGTCACAAGCTGCACTCTTTTCAATGTCTTATAGGATCCAATCTTTTACAAACAGGCCTTCCACAGGGAGCTGTCCCAGCGTCTTACAAACAGGCCTTCCACAGGGAGCTGTCACAAGCTGCATACAGGCCTTCCACAGGGAGCTGTCACAAGCTGCACTCTTTTTTCCACAGGGAGCTGTCACAACCTGCACTCTTTTCAATGTTGACAGGGAGCTGTCACAAGCTGCACTCTTTTCAATGTCTTCATCAATAACATAGCCGAATTGGTACAGACAGTCACGGACATCAAGTGCTTACTTTACGCAGATGATCTTGTTCTATGGTATTCCGCCCCTAAGAAAAACGCTCAGGAGAGTACAGAGTACTGGAGGGATAAAATCAACACCCATTGATGCAATGCTCCTAGTTACAGGAAGTCCCACATTATCTTCCTTTATCAAAGAGAAGGCCTTAATCCTGTATGAGAAGCTACTGCGCATTCTCATGGATAAGTTCTTCAGCACCTATAAGAATAGACCAAGACATCTGAAAACGCAATCTGGTCTAATACAGAAAGCCATAGAACTGAAGAAAGAATTACAAATCGATGACAAACCAAAAAGCCTCCCTCTACCCATGAACCTATTAGCAGACACTGATGTAGTTGACACACTTGCTGAGAAGGGGACAACGATTTTGCAATGCATGGACTGGCCGATGTCTTTCCACACAATAAAGACCTTAATCAGAAGAGAATTCCAGACCTCAAGGTGCAACGAAATTAAAGCTCGAACAAAGGAGAAACAGTGGACAGTGGCACTCTCCGACATAGCCGACTGGCCAAGAATCGATGCCTTTGCTGAGTTTAGACTACGTACCGGACACGATTGCTTGGCAAAACACCTTCGCAGATTGGGAGCATACACCCAACTTACATGCCCCTATGTAACCTACATACACATAACTGCAATAATTTGCAATCAATTGAATCAAATTACATTACATCGAACACCATATGATTTATCCCTTTAGATATTATTGAATATTCCACTAGATATTAAGTAAATTGCGAAGAGCAGTTTTGGGAGGCCAATAATATTGTAACTGTTATATGTGTAAAAAGATTGTTTTGTTTAAATTTTCCCAATGCGAAATATTGAGATTAGCGGTGTAGAATTGAATAAATTCAAAATTTATTATATTATGTTTGGGGTTGAAATAAATAACATTCGGGAAAGTTGCTGCTTCTCATCTCAAACCAAAGCACTTGTTCCATTGCTAAGTCATACAGTATCTTGGCAAGATCGCACTAATTTGATTTGTATACTGAAGTTGGAGTTCTTTCCATCTGTAATGATATTTCATTGGTATCTCATGATAATGACTTTGAATGATCAATATTTATTTATAACAAACGGCAGGCATTTTGATAGTTTCATTAGCCCTTTAGATGACTTCAGGTCTCACACAAAAGAAGAAATATCAATGTGGAAAAATTTTCGAGAGGGGGGGGGGNTTATGTTTCCTGGATACGAAATTGACCAAAGCGGTGATACTTTCGGGCTCACAGTCAGCGATAAACTCTATTGGAAACAGAGAGCTACCCAAAACAGCTGGGATATAGGAATGTAGAAAAATCTATCAGCTGCTGAGAGAGAAAAACAAAACAGTGGTCCTACACTGGATTCCTGGTCACTGTGGCATTAAAGGTAATGAGCTTTCGGACACACTTGCTAAGAAGGGGACAACGATTTTGCAATGCATGGACCGGCCGATGTCTTTCCACACAATGAAGGCCTTAATCAGAAGAGAATTCCATACCTCAATGTGCAACGAACTTAATGTTCGAACAAAAGAGAAACAGTGAACAGTGGCACTCTCCGACATAGCCGACTAGCTAAGAATCGATGCCGTCACTGAGTTTAGACTACGTACCGGACACGATTGCTTGGTAAAACACCTTCACAGAATGCGAGTATACACTCAACCCACTTGCCCTCTATGTAACCTACAGGAGGAAATGGAGAAGACCCACCTGATTCGGTGTCTAGCCCTAAAGGCTACGACGGAAAGCCAGAGATACTGGGAAGCAAGAAGACAGCTAATGAACTGCTATTAATTGACTGTTATAAATGTAACCCCCCACACTTGGGGGAAGCTGAAGTCAAAGTTTGAGGGCTAATGATAAATATCACAAAGCCGGCCATTTGAAATAAATTTCATTGTGCTTGGACGCCAAATCATGAGAATTGAAACCATGATATCTTAAATGAACTATTGATTAATGGGGCTGATGTGAATGGGGTTGATGAATTTGGACGGACTTCGTTGCATGTTGCAGTGGACAATAATGATGAGGCTTCCGTCTCTATTCTTTTTTCACATAATTGCAATTTAGAAAATTATGACAACGATGGTCTAACTCCTCTTACGTTGGCTGTAGAGAAAAATAACATCCAAATGGTTCACTATTTTGTTGCACATGGATCAGTGGTTTATAAGTATGTGGAGCTTCCTGAACTCCCACCTCTTGCTTATGCTGCCTTCTTTGTAAGTCCATCAATTAAGGATATGATTTTATGGCCGCTTGGATATCCTTCAATTCTTAGTGAATGTGGAAGAGACAGATNAACAGAAGAGTGCTTTAAAGATGTAAAAGAGAGACACAAAGGTAGAAAAAGGTAGGAAGAATACTGTGGAAGTAGTCGAATATGACATACAGTGGGGTGATGGTAGTTAGAAGCCAGAAGTCAACTGCCAGTAAATAGACTTTTTTGCCGTATAAGTATACGTTGCCCAGGGTGCATCACGTGGAGGTAAGTCTATCGCACACCCCTGAATGATCAATAAAATGAAACAATTTGAGTAAATATTTGGAATGAATTGCTGCTGTTAATAACCTTTCTAGACTATCTAGAGAAATTGTGTATTTTTTGATGATTTTGAAAATAATTTAATGATTTATTTTGGACAAGAATGAATCATTGTCGTTCCCTTCTAACTGTGTATTCCATTTTTAGCAATTTCTAGAAGCAAAATTACATAAATTAATAATTTAAGGTCCATTTAATATTTCATTTATTGTCCTTGCCTCGAAATCATTTGTGCGTGAGATCAAGTGAGCAAAATGTGCAACGAAGTGAGAAGTTAAGAGGTAAAACCAGAAAAAATCAAATGTACGGGCAATCTTATTTTCGTGTTGATTAAATTTGATCGTGCAATATTTGTGAAACTAAGAAACATATTGTGAAGTTGAAATCTATACAAATGCCAAATTCTCACCATAATTTGAACTCCAAGTTAGTCAACAGTTCCCAAATCAGCCTAATTAACATGTAAGACTTCATGGTTCGAGTGTTTGAATGCACGTATTCTCATAAGCCACAAGTCTACAAATCGGCCGTTGGCTTCAAACAACTTTTTCACTTTCGAACAGATTCATAGTACTTTTGTGTCAGACAGTCTCTTTTACATCAGTGAATCACTCTTCTGTTAGTCCCAACCCTCTCCCACCCCCTCTCCACTACTCTTCTCCCAACCTTCTGTGGCTTTGATGTTCCTCAGCCACGTAAAGCTCAATGTCAAATAAATACAGAGTGAGTGCTCAGAAGCAGTTTCTCGCTAACTAAGTGCATCCGAAAAGAGGGAGGAATATTTGTAATGGCTTTTGTCTAACAATGTTGCAACTCAAATTGACAGTTCCAAATTTCACCCAGAGCCAGTGATGAGTGGCCAGGATTGTGATTGCTTAATGTGCTACCTGTGAGGCGAGAAATTTATAAAATTCCAGTAGGAATTTGAGTCATCCTCTGGTGATAAAATACCAAGTCAATGATTTATTAAAATAAGGGAAGCAAATTCTATCACCATCCAAAAAGTGACGGCACGAACTCATGTTTCCACAAAAAAATATTATTTGGGCAATTTCCTTCCTCCTCATATCCATTGCGACCTGTTCTCCTGTTGTTCTATAGCCAGTAACCAGCGCATCCGGGTCAGCTCCTTAACACAACGAGGTGTTTTAGTGCAATAATTGAGCCATACCATAACAAAGCAGCAGTGCTGCTGCTGAAGCGTTGTCATAAATGATAGACGTGATTAGCGGAGTGAAGCCATGGCGGTTTGGATCGCTAACCGAGACATTGTTAGAAAGAAGATATGAGACCATGTGATCATTTCTTCCCATAATGGCAGTTTCCAAAGGAGATAACCAATTCTCATGCAAACGACTTATTGAAGCACCGTTATCAATTAAGAATTTTGCTGTCTCGTTGTGACAATTTTTGATAGCCGAGCAGAATGCAAGATTCACGTTCCATTTCTACTTTTCTCTATCTGTCTCTTCCACATTCACTAAGAATTGAAGGATATCCAAGCGGCCATAAAATCATATCCTTAATTGATGGACTTACAAAGAAGGCAGCATAAGCAAGAGGTGGGAGTTCAGGAAGCTCCACATACTTATAAACCACTGATCCATGTGCAACAAAATAGTGAACCATTTGGATGTTATTTTTCTCTACAGCCAACGTAAGAGGAGTTAGACCATCGTTGTCATAATTTTCTAAATTGCAATTATGTGAAAAAAGAATAGAGACGGAAGCCTCATCATTATTGTCCACTGCAACATGCAACGAAGTCCGTCCAAATTCATCAACCCCATTCACATCAGCCCCATTAATCAATAGTTCATTTAAGATATCATGGTTTCAATTCTCATGATTTGGCGTCCAAGCACAATGAAATTTATTTCAAATGGCCGGCTTTGTGATATTTATCATTAGCCCTCAAACTTTGACTTCAGCTTCCCCCAAGTGTGGGGGGTTACATTTATAACAGTCAATTAATAGCAGTTCATTAGCTGTCTTCTTGCTTCCCAGTATCTCTGGCTTTCCGTCGTAGCCTTTAGGGCTAGACACCGAATCAGGTGGGTCTTCTCCATTTCCTCCTGTAGGTTACATAGAGGGCAAGTGGGTTGAGTGTATACTCGCATTCTGTGAAGGTGTTTTACCAAGCAATCGTGTCCGGTACGTAGTCTAAACTCAGTGACGGCATCGATTCTTAGCTAGTCGGCTATGTCGGAGAGTGCCACTGTTCACTGTTTCTCTTTTGTTCGAACATTAAGTTCGTTGCACATTGAGGTATGGAATTCTCTTCTGATTAAGGCCTTCATTGTGTGGAAAGACATCGGCCGGTCCATGCATTGCAAAATCGTTGTCCCCTTCTTAGCAAGTGTGTCCGAAAGCTCATTACCTTTAATGCCACAGTGACCAGGAATCCAGTGTAGGACCACTGTTTTGTTTTTCTCTCTCAGCAGCTGATAGATTTTTCTACATTCCTATATCCCAGCTGTTTTGGGTAGCTCTCTGTTTCCAATAGAGTTTATCGCTGACTGTGAGCCCGAAAGTATCACCGCTTTGGTCAATTTCGTATCCAGGAAACATAATTGGCATAGTGCTATCCTAATGGCTTCTATTTCGCCTTCAAAAGCGGACCTATTATGTCCTGCTGCTGCGTAGAAAGAGTAGAGTTCAGATTATACACCTGCACCAACGTTTGCTTGGTTTTCTATGTATGACCCATCAGTGTAGACTTGGAGCCATTGATATGCAGGATAGTTGACATTGATTGTCTCAAGGGCCAGTGAGCGCATTTGCTCTGGAGGGCTGTTTTATATCCTGAAGAAGATCATCTGCGTAATGTAAGCACTTGATGCCCGTGACTGTCTGTACCAATTCGTCTATGTCATTGATGAAGACATTGAAAAGAGTGCAGCTTGTGACAGCTCCCTGTGGAAGGCCTGTTTGTAAAAGATTGGATTTTGATAGAGCATTGCCATATCTGACTTTGCATGATCTATTTCTAACGAATGATCTTATCCAATTTAGCATGTTATGCTTAATACCAATCTTTGCCAATTTTAGTATTAGCTTCTCTTTCCATACTAAGTCATATGCTGATTTGAAATCGGCGACACCAGCCGTAAGGGTATTTCTTGCATCAAGGGCATCTTCGATGTGTTGGGAGAAAGTGGATACTTGTTGGTTCGTTGATCTTTGTGGCATAAAACTGGCTTGTTCACTCATAAGAATATCGTTGGTCTCAAGGAACCAGGTGAGCCTCTTGCTAACCATTCTCTCCATAAGTTTAGCCAGTACGCTTGTGAGGGAGATAGGCCTATAGTTGTAAAAGTTGCTAGGGTCTTTGCCCTTTTTTAGTACTGGTTTTACTATGGCAACATTACATATGCATATATTGAGGTCCTTTCGACAGTGGGTTTGTGTCAATGCCAATTGTCACTTCCTCCTTAGACACTTTCTTGTAGTACTCTCTTAATCTGATGACAATTAGGGGCATTAATAGAGACAGCCTGCTTGAGACGAAGTAGAAGAAAACTTTCTACGGACTTCAATTTATTGTGAATGCGAGTGTTGTGAATGAGGAGGTGGAGTAGGTGGCATAGTATTTATAAAGACTGCTATCTTGCATTTGTTGTGGCTTTGAGAACATATGATTGGCAGCCCATTCATTCATCCTTCGAACATTTCTTAATGCGAACGTAGACTGCCGACTCTTGTACCATGGATTTGCAGGGCACGTACGCATTTTCATCAGGCACTGCAATCAAAGTCTTGGCTCCTCCATTCATTCAGGCACACAAGCACACAAGCACGAGGATACCAATGAATGCGCGATTAGAGTGACTGCCAAAATTCGTATGCTTAAATAAGCGTTTAAGAACCTCAACAGGCCACAATTACTCATGTACGCAATGCTTACCTACATTCACCCCAATAGCACCATCACCCCTATTTCATTACTGCATGAGGCTGACAACATATTGGTGGTGTCTTGGTGGCGATTTTACTCACGGTCATCACGATGTATTCAATGCAGAGCTGTTCGCGAGCCGTTCTCTAGAGTGCACAGCAGCACACAGGATGAGGGAAGACTTGCCGTGTCCACTTAGATACTGCTCAATGAGGTTGAGTCACCTCAACTCATTTTGGGAGTCACGCCATACTTGAGGATATTGCCATTGAGATGATTGGGGATAAGCATAGCGAATTCTTGTTACAATCGGTTAAAATTTATTTGCGCATATGTGGGATCCGTATTACTGTGGTTGAAACCATTATTCAATTGACTCAAGGCACCATTATTGAACAGAGCGAATATTGGCTTGCACTCTGACTGACATTAACAAACGGATATTAGAAAGAGAGAGGCGGCGATTGACTCCTTGACCACTACCGTGGACCCCTCAAGAAACACACTCACATCTCCCTATTCTTAATTGTCAATCTGCGAGTTGTGTTGTCTGCGTGCGGTGCACTCTTATTTGTGCATCTTCTAATTCTTTGTTAATGTGGACATGGTTTGATGAACTGACTTGATCTGGTGTGGATGTGAATTCTTCCAAAATTGCAACATACCAACAGATGAGGAACTATTGGGATCAATTGACGTCCTGCTGTCACCCAACATTTGAGACAACAAATGAGACAGTTTTGCGAAGTGGTACAAAGAAGAATGAACTAGCATTCCTTCTTACCAATGAATGTACGTTTTGTTGTCATAGTAATGATGAATAAACCCAGTGAATACACACAGATTGTGCGACATTCTTCATCTCCCCAATAGGTATCCTTATGCTGGAACCTCAGATTCAAACACTCTCAAATAAACTCACTGATTTAAAGGCATTACATAATTCCATTACATAATCGACACATCGATTAGTGCAGTGCTGTAATTATTCCAAACATATTAGAATTCAAAAGGTCAGTGTGCAAGACCTATATAAAGATAATGGTACTTAATGAGTGGCCATTCACCAGTCAAGTGTGTGCATTTGAGTGGGCATGAGAGGCATGAATTAGTGGGATGCTGATGGAGTGGTGAGATTTTGTGTCATGATGAAGGATAGTTCGAAAGATTAGATGTTTGAGTGCATGAAGTAGAAGAAGTATGATGGATTTCAGTGAGTAAAGAATCATTTGCAGTATTTCCATCGGTTCTTGGATGACTACCTTACTTCGGAGTTCAACAAATTGGATGCCTGGCAATCAAACGCCTGATGGCTCCAACAACATCAACATCAACAACCACAACTAACACCAATGCAGTACTCTCGGTGCGTAAGTGCGCTATTGTGTCTCTCAACCCCTCACCAAATAAATCTAGGCACTTGTGTTTGGGTTGCTCTAATTCTGTGCTACCGACAATTATTTGTCTGCTTTCGCATGGTCTCTACTGATCGCATTCATGTGCTCTGATGAAATGATATCTTCGCGGTTACGTGTTGTTGTGAATTAATTATTCATTGGGTTGGATCGGTGCAAAATGTGCTATGGGAAGGCCACCTGATGCTTCTCCTTTATTAGATGGGCAGTGGTGGTGTGTCATCAAAGCGATGTTTGCTTGAGGCTAGTATTGCGACATGGAAAAGAAGTAGTTGTAGTTGGCAGTTAATGACGATGCCAATCGAGTGTTAACGCATGAAAGAAGGTAGAAGGTAGAAATAGTGGACTTTGAGGAAAAAAACGAGAGTTTGTTCGAATGAGCTACTTATGACTTGTGAAGGTACGAAATGGACTGCTTGAAGTAGATGTGAATGGTTTACTGGGGTAGTGGTGGACTCAATGGCCTTTCTCCACATACGCGCGCTGCCATTCATAACAACCCCCCTCCCTGTAAAGCAAAAGTTAATTGGTTAATTACTTGATTTTGTTAAATGCTTGAAAATGACAGAAACTAAATGTTGGAAAGCATCCGTGTGGAGAGTGCATCAAGTTGCAAGTAGGGAACATCTTCAATTATCACTGATAATTTACTGTTTCTTTCCAAGACAAGATGAGATGTTATTGTTGCTGTTTATTTGAAAAGATAGAAGATCGCCGCCATTACAATCAATTCAAACTCTCGGGTTTATTCTAAGTCCACTTTTGCTACTTTCTGCCTTCTTTCAATGCGTTGACACTCGATTGGCATCGTCATTAACTGCCAACTACAACTACTTCTTCTCCATGGCCCATTACAAGCCTCAAGCAAACAACTGATTGGAATGGATCTCTTGTTCATCCGTATCGACAATATTGCTCGCTCCCTCTCTCTCTCCGTGAATTAGCCCATGTCACTCACAGTCACACTGTATGATGCACATTGTGGGTATATCAGTGAAAGATTATCATCGATACCTCCATGCTAAGTGTCAATTTGATCTCACCGTGGGCAAACGAGATGCTCAGTACGACAATGTCTCATTTCGAATAGAGGAAAGAATACCAAATCACTCACCCTCCATTCAGCTCTCTTACTCCTTTCCTCTTTTCACATTTTACACTTTCACATCTACTAAAAGTAGTCCATTTCGCACCTTCACAAGTCGTAAGTAGCTCATTCAAACGAACCCTCGTGCGTTGACACTCGATTGGTATCGTCATTAACTGCCAACTACAACGGCTTCTTCTCCATGGCTCAATGCTAGTCTCAAGCAAATACCACTTTGATGACACATCACCACTGCCCATTTAATTAAAAACAAGTATCAGGTGCCCTTTCCATAGCATAGTTTGTGTATAATAAACCCGTAGCTTAGTTTTTTCATAAAAGGTTTGTGTTAAAATTGTAATTAAAGGTGATGATAATGATGATGATTATGGTGCTGAAGTGATGGGAATGCTTGAGAATGTTAGAGAATTTAATAAAGTGTATCAACAGATCGATTAACCTCCCACTCTAGCAGAATGCCGAAATCAGATGCAGATCGATGCATTCATATGGCGAGGTCTCGATTCGACATTCGTTTGAGGTCTCTCTGTGCTAACAAACTTGGGAGCAGTAGTGCAAGAATCACTATGTAAATACAAGGGGTGCAAAGTAAGGAGTGTTGGCAAGGGTTTTATGGGAGAAATAGCAGATAATGGAAGGGAGAGAAGCGTGAGGTTGGGGGAGAGAGAGTTGGCTGGTGTTTGGAGAGTAGAAGTGGGTAGGTACTGCATGAAGAGAACTGCATTAAAAGATGCAAGATGACATCGCGATAGTTATTTATGAATTGAGTATGTAGAGAGGAGTGCCCTGAAGTATTCACATCTACATTCACCTG